AAGACAAAACGAGTAAAAACTGCATTTTTCGGTTTCGCTCGAATTAGGGCGAGCTTTGCTTTACTCAATATAGAGTGAAAGCAAAATTCGTTCGAAAACGGGCTGATTCGATTCTTCTTTGATTTTGTACACGATCACCGCACTCTCTTACCATTCACGGTAAAATCAAAAACCGGCAAATAAAATATTTGTTTCCATTCGATTTCAACATTAGAGCTATCTCCAATTTTTTGAAACAGGAGTCCTAATTTGCCCGGAGTGAAACCGGGCAAATTAGGACTTAATTTCGGACCAAAATTCGCAGCTGTATCAGCCAGTGTTAATGATTAGTCTATGTTGAATTTTGCAAAATATTGTAGGTGTAAAGCCTTTCAAAATACAGCTGGCGCAAGAATTAAAACAAGTAAAAAAGCAGATAAGCCGAACTTTTAATACCCTCCACCATTTTGAAGGAGCATGAAACATTTAAAAAAAATCCCCAGAAAAATACCTCTCAAATGAAACCCCTTATATATGTATTTTTTGTCATAGGCTATAGTACGCATTCCGAATTTCAAATACGAAATTTGAAACAATTCCGGTGAGTAAAGCCGCTAAAACCATCAAAATACCGAATATCGAGAGGTATCGTCAAATGGGGGCTATACGAAGACGTGAACCTGGCAACGAAGACGTGGATCTGCCAACGTGATTTTTTGTCATGGGCTGTAGTACCTATTTTGAACTTTAAATACGAAATATGAAACAATTCCGATAAAAAAATAATAAACATACCGAATATTGGAAGGTATCGTTATATGGGGGTTATATAAAAACATGGACCGACATGGTCCATTTTCGAACATAACCCTACGAACTTACCCTAATCAAGAATACATATACTTTGTTGGCTCTGCATGAGTATTTCGAAGAGTTAATACACCCTCCATAGAATTACGGAGGGTATAAAAACGAACGAATGGGCTCTTGGAATGAATGTTGGCGAAGATTCAATTTTTTTTATCGATTTTTGGCTTAGTGCATACGTAATTAAGCAGAATTGTCAATTTTGGAGTGAAGATCAGCATTGAAAAGCCACCAATACATCCAGAAAAAGTGACTGTTTAGTGCGGTTTGTGAACGGGTAGCATCATTGGATCGTACTTCTTGAAAGATGCTGCGAATCGTAACCTAACTGTGAATGTTGAGCCCTACCATGAGATGATAATCAACTTTTATTGGGCAAAATGCACGACCATGTGGTTTCAATAAAACGGTGCCACATTCCACACACACACACCATCCGCAACAATAGACTTATTGAGAGTCGAGCTCGGTGAGCAGTTCATTTCACGTTTGGGTCCGGTCAACTGGCCGTCCAGGTCGTGCAATGTGACTTTTTTGTGGGGCTATGTTAAAGATTATGTCTATTTCGATTGATACATTGGAAGACAACATTAAAGCATTTATTTATGATTTACCGGCCGAAAATTTGGAAAGAGTGTGTCAAAATGTTATTAAACTGATGGACCACTTGTGATACAGTCTCGGTCAACATTTGCATTTAATAACCTCCAAACGTATAATTATATGGACCCTACTATCAATTGTGCTTCTATGGAAAGCTTTCCTAGCTCTTAAAAAATCACCCGAAAAAATTTAAATCCAAAGTCACTTTTGGACTATCCGCTTCTGCAGCTAAAAAACTTGCAGCTTCCTACAAATACACGTTGGAATCAAGTTATATGTATCCTTGGGACGTGATTCTTAAACACATAATAAAAATTGGTTAAAGTGTAAAATGATCGTTTCCATCTTCTGAGTGTGTGTGTGAGAGAGAGAGAGAGAACACATTGTGACCCAGACAATTTATTTTATTCTATTTGTTTACTATCAAAAAAAAACCAACACCTGCTTATTAAATAGATGCCATAACAAATTGTAACCGCAACCAAGCCAAACAGATTCGTCACGTGATCTTTTCTCTATTCTTTACAAAAATGTTATCTAAGCCGATTATAGAATGAAACACGATATTTAAAAAAGAGAGAAGGAGAAAAGATATGTGGATTAAATAGCCAAACAAATACAGATAGTCATAGTTTCAAGGATACATAGAACTCTTGGCAATCCAGAAAGAAATATCGAAATGAATCCTGTTTATTGTTTTTTCTTCCTTTGATTAATCGAAATGGTAATGCTTATCATGTGTTTTCGGACTGAGAGAGAGAGAGAGAGATATTTGTTCATTTGATTTATGCCGCATAAGCGATAGCCATTGTCGTAGCATACAATTCATTGATTGCTATGAAATTAGTCAAAAGTGTTGACAAGGTTATTACCAAAAAAAACTCGCTTCCCACATGTCGTCACAGCTATTGTCGCTATGGCCATATTAAAAATAAACCATTTTTAAAGCGGCCTTCTTAAAATAAGTCATCAATGAAAGTGATATCACTAATCTCCAGAAAACATATTTTCAATTTTTTCTGAATTTTCGGAATATTTATATATATACTTCAGACTGCTGTCATTTCTAACCCACTCGTCCGACAGCTGTTAAAATTATTCCAGTGAATGCACATTATATTGTTTACAAGCGTACAAAAGCATTTTGGTCAGAATTCTCCAAAAAAAAAGTTATTCTTTATATTTGGCTGGAAACCCACAACTGGCTATCGTTAGAGCACTCAAGCATTTAAATGTGAATAAATCTTTTATGCCTCGATCCATCACTCGTTACCGTGATACTGTCATGACGTCAAGGTAGTGGACGGAAGAAAACAGCAAAATCAGCAGAAATGGTTCAAAGTAGTAGTAAAGAAGCTACTTAATAGAAAATCGCGTCGCAGTGGCCGAAAAATGGCTCGTGAGCTGAACATATCGCAATATTCCATTCTGCAAATATTGGAAAATGAGCTCGAGGTAAAGCCATTGAAATTCCAAAAAGTGCAAGAACTTACACCGCAACAGAAAGAAAATAGATTCAAAAGAGCTTAAGAGTTGCTTCACTTGGCCGAAAGTAGTGAACTGCCAAATTTGGTTTTCTCCGATGAGAAAACATTCGTTGTCCAGCAGTTTGTAAATAAACAAAGTGATCGTGTTTACTTGCCAACGAGGTCAACTGAAAATGTGCATCTTCGGTTGGCCACCAGAACACAAGCGCCGGCCATGGTGGTGGTGTGGACCGCCATAACAGCCGATCGTATTAAATGACCCTGGCGTCAGAATAAATGCCGAATATTATCGCGAAAATATTCTGCAGGGTGTATTAAAGCCATGGGCACGCAAACATTTTGGCCGCAGACCTTGAACATTTCAACAGGACTCAGCACCATCGAAGTCAGCACCCGCCACCCAAGAATGGTTAAAAAATGAGGTTCCTCCACTTCATTTCCAGCGGACAATGGTCACCAAAATCTCCGGATACCAATCCGTTGGACTATTGTGTTTGAAGTATTTTGGAAAGCAAGGTTGGCTCTAAAGAATATCAAAGTGTCGAACCCCTAAGTAAGCGCTTCGACGGGAATGGGCCAAAATATCGCAGAGCTATATTCGTGCAGCGCGTGACGGTTTCATTTGGCGGTTTGAAGGCCATAATTCGTGTCAAAAGTGACCAATTCAAACAAATCTAAACTTATTCTAAAATTTAATGCTATTTCCGACATTTTTTTGCTTTCATTCAATAAAATTAAAAATTATGGCGTTTGATTTTGTTGCAGTTTTTTTATGTCACCCTGTATTCTTGATCAGCGTAAAATTCAAAGACGATTTAGCCTTGTCCGCCCGTCTGTTGTTATGACGCTAGAGTCAAAACTAATTATGATAAGGAGCTAACATTTTGTCTTTAGTCTGCAGACAGGTCAAGTTCGTAGATCGGCTACATCGGTCCACCATATCATATAGCCCACATATAACAATACCCACGATATTCCGCATTTTGATGATTGTAGCCAAATCTTTCAATGGATTTGTCTGGAAATCCACACAAGGAGTTCTTTCTATGTACAGGGTTGCCCATATTCGACGGACCCATCTGGCAACGCCATAACTTTTGACAGAGATGTCACATCGCTTAATGACATACCGCGATTGAAGCGTCAGTTCAAGCAGATTTTTACCATGAACCAATACACGCCATGCGAGCGCTCTGAAATAGTTGAAATTTACAAGAAGTCAATTGTGAAAACTCAACGTGCTTTTAAAACATTAAAAAATGTGAGAAGTGAGAACACAATTAAGCGTTTATACGAAAAATTTCGACTGGTAAGGCTCTTTCTAATCCGAAGAGGCCATATAAAAGTCGACAAAGGCGATCGGCCGAGAATATCGCTGCTGTACGAGCCAGTGTTGATAGGTCCCCAAGAACATTCCAAAAAAGCCGTTCTCAGCAGTTGGGCATGGCTCGGCCCAGTTTACAACGGATTATTCGCATTGATTTGCATTTGTTCCCGTACAAAATTCAATTGACGCAAAGAATGTTGCCTGCGGACAAGCCTCGTCGATTGGAATGGGCCCAAAGGTCCGTCGAATATGGGCAACCCTGTAGTTTACACCCCCCCCCCCCCCATACAACGGTACCCCTCCCTATATTCGGCATTTTGATGATTTTAGCAAAATTACTCACCTTCTTTATTATACCGTGGGAATTTTTGGTTATTGATATTGCCATAGGTCTACGTTTTGGTATAGCCCCCTTGTAATTTTACCTGCAGTTGTAAATGAATTTTGATATTTTTGATTTGATTTTAGATTAAATTGTCTGTACAGATCCACCCCTTTAATATAGCCCCCCATATATTTCGATGTTTTATTTTAAATAATTATCTCAAACTTGGCATTTGGAGTTCGTAATAGACACTGTCTTCTCTGGCAGATCATTGCCTATAGAGGTTCTAACATCAATAAAAGCCCTAACCTTTAAAGGTAAGTCAACACACAGGTAATGACATTTGACTACACTTCCTACCTCGAGATATATTTTACAAAACTAACTCTAATTGAATTTCACCACCACTTACCTTTTGCAGCGCTCATCAGATCCTTGACCTCCTTGATGATGCGTTTTATCTGTTGACTAGTGTGATCCAATTCCTTTTCGTGGCGATTCAAATTGTCGCGAAATTCTGGACTATCGACGATGCATTCCTCGAATTCGAGGGGTTCTAAGCCGCGACGGGCATCCTTGGTGCCCCCGCCCATTTTGCCGCTGCGATTGTTGTTATTATTGTTGTTGTTGTTGTAATTGCCGTTGCTGGAAGAACGGCCAACCAGGCGATGGGATTTCGATTTGGATTTCAGGCCTTTTTTGGATGATGCCGACAATGGTGGGGCAATTAGATGATTGGGTGATGAGGCGGATTTGGAGAGTTTGTAGCCGCCGTTATTGTTGTTGTTGTTTTTAGTGTTAATGTGAATGTAATGCAAGTTATTGTTATTATTGTTGTTATTATTATTATTATTGTTATTAACTGTTTTCGATTGATTATTCTTCATAATTTTTTATTTAGATTTTGAATTCAATTCAAAACAAACGGTACAGCAGGCGAGCGTTGTTGTTGCGTTCCAAAGAAAAAATGGAAGAGAATTAAGGCTGGGGGAGAATAACACAAAGGCGGCAAGAGAAATTTTCGTTGGTTGGAATTTTGCACAGAAAACACTTGTTTGTTAATCTTTAGTTGCTTGCGGGCGGGTGTATGGCATGTAAATCACAAAACACAACAAAAAGGGGAATGAGGAAGAAAAACAAACTCAAAAATTCAAACTTAAAGGACTCATAAAACTTCTTAGACTGGCATTGTGGACACCACTGAGTTTCGTGATCGTGGCGCATGGATGGATAGGCACTTGGGTTGATTGATTTCAATTTTAATTTTGTTTTGAAAATATTTCTTTTGTTTGGCACTTTTTTGGGGTTATTGTAATTGTGTTTTATTCCTTTTCTCTGCTTAGTCCTTCTTTGGGCTATTGCAGTGGATGACGAAGATGGTGTTGGTGGTGGTTTTTTCGTTTCTGTCGCAGCTGTTGTTGTTGTTGTTGGTGTTTTTGGCGATTTGCTTTACAACGAGGAATTCCATTGCACCTAAATGTTGTTTTCTTGTTTTTGTTGTTGTATTTACGTTTCGTTGTTTTTATTGTTTTCTCTTTTGGCTTACTTTTCGCTCGTTAATTTTGTTTCACTCGCGACTCTTGTAATGTGGCCAGCTGCTGCACACACACGGACGCACGCACTCACACACACTCAACACAGCATTTGCGCACTCGTAGTACTTCGTACTAACCAGCCAGCCAGTCAGCCAACAAACCGACAACTCAACTTGTAACTTGTTTTTGCCGTTTCTCTTCTTTGTTTCTCGCATTCGTCGTCGTCTTTCGTTTAAAATAATTTCACACAGAAACACTCACGATCGATGGATGGATGTCACAACGAAATTAAAACAACAAAAATAAATTATATTTTTTTCATTTAATTTTTTCGCCAATTTTCGAAATCTTTTGTCGTGGAATTGAAAATAATTTTTTCGAGAAAAAAAATTATAAACAAAAAAGAACTGAAAATAAAAAAAAAACACAAAGAAACAAAATTAGCACAGAGCGGAGAGAGGGACATAAAACTTGGAATTAGACCACAAAAATTGCAAAAATTACCAGCTCACTTTTCACTATTTTCCGTGTTTTCCTTCACATTTTGTTATTTTATTTTACACATTTTCCAAAAAACAAATTATTTATTTTGAATTTTAATTTCTTGTCAAATGTAATGGAATTTTTCTAGTTTCTTTCTTTTCTATTCCACTTGCTTTGATGTATTTTTTTATTGTTTTATTTTTGCGTTTGTCCGTATTCCGTAGTTTTCACTCTTTGCGATCGTTTCGAACCATTTGTTTGCCAAGACTGGAGTTGAAGTTTGAATCAGGTTTAGATTCGAGCTTGGGACTCACTCACTCAGTCAGTCAGTCACTCTCTGACATGTGCTGTTTCGCGTCTTGCTTGTGGTGGGTTTTGTTTGTTTATTTTGTTCGCTCTTTCGCTACTACTTTTATTTTTGTTGATCGTCGTTGCTCGATGGACAAACATGTTCGTTTGCAACAAGACTTTTTATCGAGGAGTTGTACCTGAGAGTTGATCGTAAATTCTTTCTGGCATTGAAAAAAGAAAGAGTTGCCAAAATAAATGTATTTTCTCGTGAAAATAGGGCTCCTCCGCAATAGAAAAAATAATATGTGGAGTTTGTCGTTCTGTTTGCATCGTATAACTAGGATAATGCATTACCTAATAAAGGTTGCGGTTCTACTGACTTTAAGCGTTTTGAATCAGATATAAAAAGATTTCCCAAAGAGAACTTGAAGGCCTAAATCTCACGCAATTTCATTCTAATTTACAGCACATTTTGCCCCCAAAATTTTCAAAATATGTAAAATAAAGCGATTTAATAGGAGGATTTAGAATGATACCAAAACGGGAACCTATGTAGGCAATTTTATACTTCAAGGATAGTCATCTATTAAATCTTCCACAATACCAAATTTGAAAAAATTAAGTGGGTAAATGTAACTAGCATTATCAAAATATCGAATATCGGTGGGTATCGTTATATGTGCGCTGTAGGAAAACGTGGAACTAAATATTCAATGTTCTGCCACCGGGATAGAGCCAATTATGAACTACAATTACCCATTTTTAGACAAATTCGGCGAAAAAATGTGGCAGAAATCATAAAAATATCGAACATCGTGAGGTTCCTTTATGTGGGGGCTAAACCAAAACGTGGACCTATACATACAATGTTTCGCCACACGAGCTAGAACTCATTATGACCTACGAAGACAATTTTTTGGAAACATCCGTGAAAAAAAATGTGGCAAAAATTATGAAAATACCGAAGATCGAGAGGTACCATTATATGGGGACTATACAAAAACGTGGATATATCTCATTTTCAATACCAACTATCCCAGATAAGTTGTTTTGCTAAATTTTGACACTCCAAGTCGAATAATGTGGGCTGTATCGTGATTTCAACGGACATACGGACATCGTTAAATCGACTTAGAATTTTATGCTGATTATGGGGTCCTACGACGAATATTTAGGGATGTTACAAACGGAATGACAAACCAAATTTCTATAATCTTAGAGATGGAACTTTTAAATTTCGTAGTAGTGTAGCAATTTGTGGAAAACACTCCAGCTTCCGACGAAATGAAGTAAATAGATAAAATTTAATTCTGGTATATTTTAGGCCCATAAAATTTTTAGTATTGAAAATGGGCCATATAGATCCAATTTTTGGAACTATTAAAATTTGAAGAGAATCATGCCTTCGTATGGTCCCATATAATGTATTCGATATTTCGATGATTTATAATTTTTATTTTTTAACACAATTATTTATCTCAAACTATATAATTAGCTATAGAGGTCCATAAACGTATATATCTGTAACACCTGATATTCAATATTTTTATAATTTTATCGGCCTTTTTGTCAGCCCTGTGAATTGTTTATAAAAAAAAAACATTTTCAAAACGACTGATTTGAAGAAATGTATATTGCGGGACGAACAGTAAAGATATTAACATTTTTTCCATGGAATTGAAAAATTGAACATTTTGGGCCACATTAAAAAAACCATGCATTGCATTATGAATACAAAATTTGAAACAACACCGGTGAATATTGTCCCTAAAATCTCAAAATATCGAGTATCGGGGGATACCGTTGTATGTGGGCTATAACTAACTATATAGGCATTTTTCTTCCAGGGGGTAAAGTGCTTAGACAAAACTTGTAGCATGGATTTTTAGACAATTCCATTGAAAAATGTAGCTTAAATCACCAAAATACCGAATATATGGAGGTACCGTTATATGGGAGATATACAATATCGTAGTCCATCTTCGAACTTGACATGCCTGCAGACAAAAGACTGATCTGTTCAAAATTTTGGCTTCCTATCTTAATTCGTTTGGACTCTAGCGTGATTACGACGGACAGGGCTAAATCATCTTAGAATTTAACGCTGATCAAGAATATATACTTTGTTATGTATAAAATTATTATTTCGATATGTTACAAATGGAATGAAGAACGTAATAAGCCTCCACACTATGTATGTTGGAGGGTAAAAAAATAAGGACGACAAAACAGGAAATTCTGTTTTTGTGTTTGTGACCGGGATAAAACGCGGTTCGGGTGTTTTTGCAAAGTTATTACTATTTTGACGAGAGGCGAAAATATGTCAAATGTTTGAAGTTCTAGCTGATACTCTAACCTTTCCATTGGCAATACTTTCTAAACGTCCTACGTTCGGGGCTTGAAATCTTATGGTTTGTGGTATTTCTAAGACCGGCTACGCGAACGAATTTTTTTCTAAATTCGATACTTTTTACGCAACCGCTCCCTTGTAAAATTTACGTGATTTTTTTGTCATAGGCTGTAGTACCTATTACGAACTTTAAATACGAAATTTGAAACAATTCCAGTAAATAATGTCGCAAAAATCATCGAAATAACTAATATTATATGGGGGCTATATGAAAACGTGGAGCGGCAAAGTTTTAGTCTTCTGTCTAAATTCGTTCATTTCGAGGTGTTACAAACGAAATGACAACGTTAATACACCCTCCATAGTATGGTTGATTGTATAATAATGAGCCGAAAAACAAAAAAAAATAGGCTTACGATTTCCAAAAATGAAATATGTTTTAGAATTGCTTGACCTCATATATCAATCACCGGAAGGAGAAAAAAGCTAGTTGCAAGCGATTGCAAGAAAAAAATTGTTCGGCAAGAATTTGCAAATCCGCAGTAAAATAATTGCCAAAAAAACTCGCGAACATTTTTTTTAATTTTTTCTAGAGCTAGGTATTTTTCCTTGATTCCGGTAAAGTATTTTCTTGGGGGATAGACCACGATGCCCAGATATTTGACCCAAAAGTCCGGACCTAAGACCCGGGTTTTCATGAATGTAATCGGCTCCTCCGGGTTCAAAGACCCATATCTCCAGATCCAAGGAAAACAAAAACACATGTTGTAGCATTTTGGAAAGATTATATTATGAACTAGGATTTTGTGCATAAATTTTGTGAACTACCGAAACGGGACCATTTTCGACTTTAGGGGAATTTTTAAAAAAAAATCGGTTCAAAAAATGCAACTCTGGAACCATTTTTAATAACCACATCACGTGACCACTTGTTGAATGGGTATTAGCATTCAAGAAACCTATACAGTAATGTAGGGTTTAGCCCGGGTCCGTCCCCCAATAAAAAACATACTTTCCCTGTATTAGGATTCAAATACCTACCTCTGGCAACTAAAGTTAAGCTCAAATTTTTGGGTAACCAAACACACCTATTGATATATGCAAATGGCGTCTTTTTGGAGTTAGGATGTCAGCCATTATTAAGCGTAGTTATATTTTATGATCTCCATAATGGATCCGAGACCACCCTCATGAAAAAAAAAATATTTTACCTATCCATTTTGCTAGACAGGAGTTATGCCACCGATACTACATTATTCACTTGACTTATTGTGAACCTAAAATTGAAATTTATTTCATCACTTCCTGTTGACAAATTCCTTTCTCAAAAGACCGATTAAAATTTTGAGCTATTCCTCTCACCCCAGATGGGTATTCTTTTAAGATATGCTTCTCATTTAACTTCTTTTTTCTACCAATTGGTGTGACATTTTCGATGATTTGCATGGAATTCGGGTTGGGTGGTAGTGGTGGTGGCTGTTAGCTGTTTTAACTGTTGCCGATAAGCAACAGAATGTTTGGTTGGTTCTTCTTCTTCTCCTTCATGGAGGTGTCTTCAGAAAGCGACAGCATTGCACAAACGGACGGACGGACGGACCGACAAATAAACGTCAATGGTGGTACGCACATTTCGAGGCAAAACAAACAAGCGAAAAAAGAGAAATCGGAAACTTGAAAACTGAAGAAAACTGGATTTTTTGTGCTTCTTCTTTTGCTAAACAACAACAGCAGTAGCAGCGACAGCAACAAAAAGCGCAACTTTAAGAATCTGATTGTGGTGTTTTTGTTTTTTTTCTGTTTCATTTCAGCTAAACTTGAATTGCAAGCTCACATTGATATGTTGCTGCTGTTGGGCTTGTATTTGTTACTATTCTCATTGTTTTTGTTGTTGTTGTTGTTGTTTTGCAATGGAATGTTTTTGTGTGAACACTGGTTGGTGCTGCGCCGCTGCTGCTGCCACTGTTGGTGATAATTTTTGCAATTTTTGTTGTTGTATCTTTTTTTTACATCATACAGAGATTTCTGTGGCATTTTCACAACTTCGAAACGAACTCACACTCCCTGACAGGGCATGCATACCTACATTTATTTGATATGTATCCCAAAAGTGTAGAGAGAAGATATCACAATACGCTGCCGAGGATAATAATAATGGGTAGATGGGTATGTATGTATGCGTGTATAATCCAACAAGGCAAGGCGGTAACACAATAAAGATTTTCTTTCACAATATTTTTGCTCCGCTTAGATGCTTAACTTATTAGTTAAATTTCCTTTTTCATTGGAACGGGATGATGGAGATTAACACTGTTGCTTTCACAATTCACAATTTCTCGTTTGCAATTAAAAGCGAATGATTGATGTTTCATTTGCAGATCATTTCACAATTTTACGTTTTTTTTTCACTTTTGTCAAACAGCAATTTGCTCCCAAATTAAGTTTGGCCAATTTGTTTTAAACTTCACTGTATGGCTTTTAGTTGTTGCTATTTCACCTTTAATTTGTTAAAACAAATAAATTCACAATAACAATTACTTGATACCGCTTTTCACTTTTCCCCGCTTACGATGTTACATTCAAAAGGGGGACCACTTGTTTTTTGCAATTTCTAAATCACACACACACACGGCTATCTACATTTCCCGGTAGTTGAAGTTGTTGTTATCGCAATACGATATTTTCTTCTTTAATTTGTGTATTTTTTATTCGTTTGTTGAATGAATGAATGTCACCACAGCAACAGCTTTATTTGTTGTTGGTGTGTAAAATAGTAAACAAAAAATTCTCGCAAAAACACGACGAAATTATCCGACATCACGACCGTACACACCTAATACGTTCTCTCATTTAAAACTGAAATCAAAACATATGCTACGGCAACGTCACAGCTCAAATTCAGAATGAGAGTAGATAGGGTTCAGTAAATCGACTTTTGATTCAGCGAACGAAACGTTTTTCAAGAGAGAGTAAAAGAGAGAGAGAGATTTCAGCGAATATGGACAACAAAATGGAATATGAGAATAACTTTGGAAAGTTTGGCGTTGCCACATCAAAAAAATTAGATTGGAAGTACCACAATTGACATTAAGCTATATGTTGGGATATTTATGTAGATGGCGTTGAAGTCAGTTATAATAACGTAGAATAATTATTCCTAAGGTCACATTAATAAAATATAGTCTCATTTGCTAAATCGACAATGACAACACTTTATCACCGTGCCGGCCCTGCACTTTGTTGTGTCATTTTGTATACCCTCAGCCATATGGCTACAGAGGGTATGTATCATTTGATACGGGCAAAACGTACCTAGTCAAAATAATGGTTTTATACCCTAGGTCCCTTTGGACCAAATCCGTTTCAGGACATTTGGAGTCGATCTAGCGATGTCCGTCCGTCTTTTAGTCTGACTGTCTGGTTGTGCGCACGATAACTCTGAAAAGGAGTATCCGATTTTGTCCAAACTTGGTACATCATAAAATTTTGTCAAACTTAGATCGAGTTCGGAGATAGGCAATATCGGTCCACTCCCTCTAGTACCTCCCCCACAAAAGGTCGAATTAAAAAAAAAATAAATTTTCTGCACTGAAAGAGAAAGGATAATCCGATTTTGCTCCAACTTTGCAAATCCTAATATTTGCGTCAGTACTAGGTTTGGTGCGAAAATGCTCACAATGGGTCAAAATAATTACAACTCTTACAAAATGTGATGAAAGAGTCTGATTGTCTTCCAATTTCACACATTCCAATATTTGTATTAACCCAAGGTCTGGTGTTAAGATGGAATACATCGGTCCACTCCTTCTGGTACCTCCCCCACAATATGTCGAAACGATAATCCGATTTTGCTCCAACTTTGCAAATCCTAATATTTGCGTCAGTGCTAGGTCAGTTGCGAAAATTGACTATATCCAAGAAGTACCTCCCCACATAGGGTCAACATTTTGAAAGGATTGGGTTGGAAATAAGGGAAATTGTGTGGGGCCAAGGTCCCTCTATCCCATTACTTCATGTACAATGGTAAATTCCCTTTCTTTGTGACTATTCTTACCTTTTTTTAATCCACGAGAAATAATTTGTTTTCAAATAGCTTTGAAGTTGAAGGCATTGCTAAATTGAAAAAAAAAACATCGATGCGGATTTTGAATACGATCAGAAAAGTTTGACATTGAGGCACATATATTTATTAAAAAAGGAACAGATGAATGTTGCTAGAGCTATGCAAATGTTTAGCAGAACATTATCGGTAGACCTAGAAATGTTAATATCCAATGTTTACATATCAGCTGCAACAGCGACCACCAGAGATTTCCTGGAAATAATAAATGACATGTTTGACCAACTAAATGTAAAAATAAGTCCTCACTCAATCCCTATAATCAATTAATGTAAAGAAGACTTTCCGAAAAAATTACGTAAATATAAAGAGTAAAGCAAGATGCGTCGATGGAATAGTTCAGACAATGCAAGGTACGTCATTACAGCTGAGCAAGTATTTGAGGATTGCGACGATGTTGAATACATACTGTTAGAAAAATTTAGTGAGGAAGTGTTGGAAAACCCCGTTTAAAGGTTTCGGGCACAAGGGAATAAACACAGCCCTCTGTAAGGGAGTTAAGATATTGTATAGCCCGTTATACTTTGCAGGCAATGGTCAATATTTGGATTAGTCAATTTATACAAACGAGAAACCGATTGGCAGGAACCGTTAAGGAAGAAATGAAATCGAAATAGAAATACTGACAATGCTACACTTTTCGAAACTATTGAAACAAATCAGAATAGACAGAACGGTTTGGATTTACTATACTTAAAACCACTTATGTTAACAACCATGGTACAATAAGAAGGTAGAACAGCTTCGTAAAACTACACAAATACAGCACTAAGGCTGTGCCTGCTTCCTGTCAAAATAATCAATGAAACGCCTGGATTTTCTTTTAAAAATATGTTCTAGACTGTTCTATCTTCCAATTCCATGGTAAAACTGGCGAATAGCTTTAATGCGCGTCTCGCAATTTACACGTCTTCCAATCATTGATTTTGAAAATATTCTGTTTCTATTTTTCTAAACTAAAAAAATAAGAATAAAAATACGTTTTTCTTTGATTTCTGACTGACGAATAACGTGAAGAACATAGAAAACAACACCTAAGGTATCTGTTAGTCTAATAATGAAAAATGGTTGCCTGAAAAACTGTCTTCACACAAGGCAAAGGAAAGGCAAGATTGATTGAAGAAAAGGAAGCTTAATATGAAACACAGGGACATCAAATTCTCATCAATTCAAATTCTCCACTTTGATAAGTAAGTACATTGGTAAAGTGATATAATTTATTTTTATAAACTTTTCAGTTCAAAATTTATGGCCCTCACACAAGGGAATCATCGTCCCAACAATCTCGTGTCATGTACGAATTTTTGGAACTATAATGTCCCTACCTGGACACTGAGTCCTTACAATATTCGTTGTCATCTTGGTAAAATTTCATATGGTAAGTAGTAATTATATAATGGTATTTTTTAATAAAAATAAAAAAAATCAATTTCTTTTTTTTTAAGTTGAAATAGCCGCCCAAACAATGGAACTATGGGTCCATTCAAAGCGGAGGTATCTTCACAATATTCCTGGGCACGATTTCATATGTTAAGTAATAATTATAGACTTGTATTGGTTTAAAAAAAAATAAAAAAATAAAGCTTCTTTTTTTTAAGTTTTTATTTAGTAAATTAATACAATTTTTAAGTAAATATATATTATATGAAATGGTGCCAATGTGTCCATGAATATTTTGATTATATAGACCCATAGTTCCAAAAATTCGTACATGGCACGATATTCTTTGGAATATGGCATGTAATTGCACCTTCCTAGTGGTGGAAGCTATAAATTTAATTAAAATTAAAAAAAAAAAAAACTAATAAAATTCTACAATTATTATTTACCATATGAAATTGAGCCGAGATGCCTATAAATATTTGGAGGACTCCTCTTACAGTTCCATGGTATGAGATTGTGTGTAGTACCATATATACCATAGACTGCATTTTAACTGTGGCGAATGTTAATTTTTCAATTTGTAATTCAGGGTGAGATGAAAAAAACTGCAACCAACTTCAGACTGCTGCCATTTCTAAGCCACTCGTCCGACAGCTGTTAAAATTATTCCAGCGACTGCTCATTATATTGTTTACAAGCGTACAAAAGCATTTTGGAGAGAATTTTTCAGACAAGAAAAGTTATTCGTGCTGGAATTCAAGCGTGATAGTGTGATTTCTTTATATTTGGCTGAAAACAACAAGTGGCTATCGTTAGGGCACTCCAGCATTTAAAATTGAATACATCTTTTGTGTCTCGTACCATCGCTCGTTACCGTGATACTGGTAGCTTAGTGGACGGAAGAAAAACAGCAACATCAGCAGAAATTATTCGAAAAGTAAAGAAGCTACTTGGTCGAATCTCGCGTCGCAGTGGCCGAAAAATAGCTCGTGAGCTGAACATATCGCAACATTCCATTCGGCAAATATTGAAAAATGAGCTCGGGGTAATGCCATAGAAATTCCAAAAAGAGCAAGGACTTACACCGCAACAGAAAGAAAATCGACTCGAAAGAGCTAAAGAGTTGCTTCGCTTGGCCGAACTGCCGAATTTGGTTTTCTCCGCTTCCGATGAGAAAACATTCGTTGTCCAGCAGAGGTCAGCTGAAAATGTGCATCTTCGGTTGGCCACCAGAACTCAAGCGCCGGCCATGGTGATGGTGTGGGCCGCCATAATAGCCGACGGTCGCTCTCCGGTCTTATTAATCGACCGTGGCATCAGAATAAATGCCGAATATTATCGTGAAAATATTCTGGAGGGTGTATTAAAGCCTTGGGCACGCAAACTTTTTGGACGCAGACCTTGAACATTCCGCAATGTACGTGTCTTCCAAACAATGGTTTTGAAAATATTTTGTTTTTATTTTTCAAAACAATAAATACATACACAAAATTGGCAGAAGTCGGGCACACTTAGAAAAACATTGTAATCCGCTGCTACCTCCACCTTACCTTTTTATTGTACCATGGATTTTGTAATACTTTTTGCTTTGCTAAAATAATCAAATTAGCAAACAATACGATGGTAGTTACAACTTCGATCCTAAATCGACCATTACTTGTATGTGGAGCTTATATGAAAGAAAACAATTCAATTTAGTTTGAAGAATATAAAATAAGCAATAAACGCTGACCTTCATACGATGCATATCCTTCCTCACACTCCGGTGTGGGAGAGTTTTATCCACCACATGAAGGTTTGGGTAACTTCCACTTCCACCATTCATGCATTTCTGTTTGGGTTTGTGTTCTTGTGGACCCGCTTGCTGTTGGACCTGATTTGGCTGTTATGGCTGATTGTTATGATTAATGTTTTTGCCACGTGTTTTTGGAGTTGAGTTGTTCCATAAACGTTATACTTAAGTTCGACGGCGACACCTAGTTTTCAAATCCAAAATTTCTGTTCATTTAGCAAAGACATACACCGTTAGCAGTACAAATCAAATTCAAAGTTTTTATACACACCTTGCAAACGACAAAATCCACCATGGTATTCGAACACATCATTGACTGCTATATTATTTGAAGAAGAAACGTCCAAGTATCGTAAATTTAAAGGTAAAAATATACCGTTACCCTATGAAATATTTTGCCCCAATTATTTTTTGAAGTTTAATATTTTATTGTTGCAAAATGGACAGGCTTAATCCCTTTATTGCTGTTTTTATAAAAACAATGTTTGTTTATTGGTGGAGGACGATGGTAATGTTTACTGCCTTACCCCCTGGTAAACATTACCATCGTTCTCCACTAATAAACAA